CCGGAGCCACTCGCACCCCCAGCCCCGCAGGGAGCGAGGGTGCGCAGCGGGGTTTGGGGGCCGTGTGTTCCCCGCCCCGCCCCGGGCTCTGAGTTTGCCCCCGGTGGGGCACGGGGAGGGGGGTCACTGGGGGGAAGACACGGAGCATCTGCTGCTGGCAGCATCCCGGTGAGAAGCCGGGCCTGAGGGCAGACACGGAGCAGGGCAGAGCCCGTGGGGTGGACGCGGCGTGGGCTGCCGGGGGCGGCAGGGTCGAGATTTTTTTAAGACGGGAACCCGCGTTACCCCCAGTCTGTCTGAGCAACTGGTTTCAGCGAGTGACGCTCGGCATCTTTCTTTCTGGCTGCTGACAAAGTGTCACCCGAGGCGCTTGCGGGTCTCTCGGCTGAAATAAATGTCTTTAGCTGCGTGACATAGTTCCCGCGGCGCGGCCTCATCCTGACTGCAAAAGGGGGCTTGAACAGTCGCGGCGAAGCAGGAGCGGAAAATAAATCGCTGTGGTGAAGAAGCCAGGCAGGCACACAATGAAGATGTAAATAAGTAACAGCGCTTGCACGAGAGGGAGGGGAGGTGATGGCCGACACGGCGGGGCTCGGGCAGCCCGGCAAACCCAGGGCCAGCACCGGGGCTCAGGTGCCGGCCGCAGTGATGCCAAGGGATTGCTCTCGCTGTGGGCACGGCTTTTCCCTTTGCTGCCCTGGGAGCATTTAAATCTGTAATCAATCCCTCTTCAACAGCCTAAAAGCGCTCCAGGAGGAGCGGGCAGCAGAGCTCTGATGGCTTTGGCCACCCATAAGGGAGATAAGCTGGGTCAGGAGCTCCTGTGCGTGATTCCTGGAGGAGATCCCCCTTCTCCCACCCCAAGCCACGGCCACGGCCATCACGGGCCCCAGGGAACGCCGAGGAGCTCTGGGTTTGCAGCATTCCTCCGACACAGCTGAGGAAAAGCTGTCACGGCGGAGGCTTATCCCCCTGCTCCCCTTTGTGTGCTCTTCATCCTGACAACCTAGCTGGGAGATGGAAGACCTGACTCGTCAGAGCAGACTCGATGCCAGGGGTTTGCACTATAATCTGATTTTCCGGGACAGCTGCCGTCAATAGAGGCTGAGGCCTCGGAGCAAAGTGCGATGCTGGAACCATCTGCGGGTCTGTAGGGTTTTTAGCTAGTCCCTATGCAGTGACAAGGCCGTTGTGGAGCTTTTCCCTGGCGCTACCTGCCTGGAAGAAGGGGGTACGCAGCCCCAGCACCCCACGCCTTCAGGATGCACCCCCTCCAGCAGGCTGTGAGTGCTGGCGCACGGGGACTTTTCCCCTCTCTCAGCCACAGTCGATGATGACGGAAATCTCCATCAACAGCCTCGTGTTCAGGAGCAAACAAAGCCAGCTGCTTATTGCTGCCGCATCAGGGCAACGCCGGAGGAGGATGACCCCTTATCGCGGGCGGCAGTGGGGAAGCGTGCCTGGTTAATTCTGCCTTTACCAAAGGTCATGTGCTCCAGCACCTGCAGCGGTGCTGATCCCTGCTGCCCTGGCCCCCAAAACTTGGCCTCGTGCAGCGCCAGAGCTCAGAGCACCGCGTCCACGAGCACCGCAGGGAGAAGCATCTTCAGCAAGTTTTTCTCTTAGCAAACGCGTGTGCAGAGACACAGTCTGCTCAGAAATCACAGTCACGCCTGGAGATGTTGCTCCTCATATAGTTACAGGAACTAATCAGATAACTGCAGCTGAACTAAGGGGGATATATTTACTAAAAATAGATTAATGGAACAACAGACGCCTGAAGATACGGCGTGCCTTGGGGAAGCGGGACTGCGGTATCTGGCAGGGCTCTGAGTGGGGCCGGCTGTGACAGTGGCTATCTGTTACTCTGATACATCTACATGTAAGTAATTTGTTTTTAGAGGCAGAAAAGCAGCTTGTCCCCATCAGGGCTGTCAACCCAAGAGGCCTGTTGTATTGCAGCGTGGCGGGGGGGCTGTAAATGCAAGCACTAAGAGGCGGCTAGTGCCAGCTACTTCTGCCTGTGCTAAGAGCTGAGCAGCAGCCCGAGGCCCCGTGGGGCACAGCGCCTTGGCCATCCCCGCCTGGGGACAGAGCTCGGCACTGGGCTGGAGACACGGAGAGCCTGGCCAGGGCTGGCCACCGGGCTCTGGCCACCTGCTCTGCACAACCACTGTGCTTTGGGATTTGAAATCTAGCCGTTTTCTTTGGCATGGATATTAGCAGGGTTCTCTGTGTGCCAGAAGTTGGACGTCGTGCTCAGAGCCAAGCGAGATATTTCGGTGCGAGGCCATCCCTCCTTCCTCCCACTGGTCCAGGTTGCTCCATCCCTGGCTCGTGCCTCTGCTGCTCCTCACTGCTCCGTCCCCTGGGCAGGGATGCCCACCTCGTCCCGGCCAGGCTCTAGCGATTCCTCTCCCAGCAGCCCGGGAGCACGCTGAGCCTGCTGCCCTCCCGATCCCAGCTCTTGTCACCAGCTCAGATGG